AATAATAATAATAATAATAATAATAATAATAATAATAATAATAATAATAATAATAATATTATATGGAAGTGTCTTTTGTGGATTATACACAATTTCCATCTAGCCAAACACAAAGAGGTGTTTGTCCACAAAATCCTGAATTCAGGTGAATATGTCAGTTTCATTTAACAGTTGAAACTAATAGAAATCTTAGGTATTTTGTTTTATAAAATATTAAAATTATCAAAGCTCCTAGTTAGTGACTTTCATAATCTAATTATATACTGTATGATAATATGCTTCCTTTTTTCTTTTCCCAAATGACTTTTAATCATCTTTTTGGTATAACTTTGTGTCACTACATTTGCTGATATGTGAAAAAAAAATCCTTGTTTACTTTCTTCATATCGTTTCTATTTTTGTAGCTCTTTATTTTATTTGTACTTTTAAAAGATAAAATTGTTAACCAAATTACTATTTCCTGTGCAATTTTAATTGTTTTTGTAAAACTGCATTGTATGCTATATATGCTAATCAAAACAGTATCAAGGGTATATAAGCAGCTCATAACTTTTATGTAAATCTTTCTGCCACATGAATGGCTACACATTCCTGAACAATTACATAGACTCATATAAATCTACAGGAAAATGAATTCTTCCTTGAAGGGCAAACAACTCATATTTGATGTTGATAACTACATATCCATATCTAAGGAGAGTTAATTCTTAATCTGCCCTCCAAGAAAGCTTTGAATTATGTCTTGATAATAAATACAGAAATATAAATACTCCCTATCTATTTCATTGTCAGATGAGTATACCCTGTTGTTTAAATATGTATTTAAAATGTTGCCATCTATTATAGTGACCTTGAAAGAGTCCTTTGTAGTCAACAAGATTGATGGATATTTATATATATTATTCATCATTCAGTGATTTATTATTTTAGTTATTAAGATCATGTTAAAACATACATATAAACAAAGAAACAATGAAAGAAGTATGTACTAGAATATTAGTTTTATTAGAAAACAGTTTGCAGCACTATTTCCTTTTTTTTTAAAGTTACACTTCAATGTAATGTCAGCTACTTTTAAAATCCATTTTCCCTCTTACTGTTTGGCTTGTAATTTGGATACCTGAGTCAATCCACAGGAGCGCAATTACCATTTTAAGGTCTTATTGTCTGAGTAAAAACTGAACATTTTTTAGTTCTTTATTGCCCACTACTAAGCAATATTTTAATATCAATACTATTAACAGCATAATTTTTCTAAATAAAAATTTCCTTCTATTCTTTGAAGTACAAACATTCTACATCCTTAAAAAAAGATATACACGTAGTCTACATTTAGCAACCACAGTTGTGACTAGCAACTTGGTCATTAAGTGAAATGGTCACTAGTGAAACCGTGACTGTACTTATGATCATACTTCAGCTTTCCTTCGCTTTACAGATCTGCAAAGGTCGTAAATGTGAGGAATGGTCGCAAAATTACTTTTTCATCACTGTTGTAACTGCAAACAGTCACTGTACAAGGTAGTCGCTAGGTGAAGACTACTTGTACTACATCTGCCTTGCTTAGATACTGTGCATTCAAATTCTCAAGTTCCATCAATAATGAACAATAATGTGAAAATCACAACTCTGATGACAAAGTTTTCAGGATATCTTCCCACTGGCTCTTTTATATTAACAAAGTGCTAGAGAGGCACAAAATATTCATCTCGTGTTTTCTTGAGAAGATTATATCTTGACACTACAGGTAGTCCTCAGGTAACAATAGTAATCAGGACAGGAATTTCCATCGCTAAGCAATGTAGTCGTAAAGTGCAATGTCATGTGACCACATTGCTTAGCGACAGCAGTCCCCATTGCCATTGCTAAGCAGGGTTTGTGGGTTGTTAAGCAAGACCTCCTCGCAACTTCCTGATGGCTTCCAACAACCAAATTCATTGGGGAAGCAGGCAGGAAGTTGCAAGTCTCAGGTGACATGCAAGCAAGCTGGCAGGCAGGTTAGGAGTAGGGTGTGCAAGGGGCTTGCACGGTGCAAGCACAACGAGGCTTGGGTGGCTGCTGCTGGGTGGGGGAGGGTATACAAGGGAGTGTGAGGGGCCAGTGTGGTGTGAGTGCAGCAAGGCTTGGGGTGGCTGCTGCTGGTCAGGGGAGGGCATTGAGGTTGCATGAAGTTGCGGCACAGCAGAAAGACAGCTGGGCTTGGGGTGGCTGCTGCTGGGTGAGGGAGGACGTGTGAGGGTCTGGCACAGTGCAAGTACTGCAAGGTTTGGGGTAGCTGCTGCCAGGCGAAGGAGGGTGTGTGAAGGGTGGCGCAGTGTGAGTGCAGTGAGGCTTGCAGTGGCTGCTGCTGGGCATGGGAGACTTTCCCGAGCTACTTGCCATTTCCTGCCAACTTCCCCATTGACTTTCTTTGTGGGAAGTTGACAGAGAATGTCGCAAATGGCAGTCATGTGACTGTGGGATACTGCAACTTCGTAATTTCGACTGGTCACTGAAAGAGTGGCCTTTAACCGAGGACTACCTGTATATACCTGCCCTTACAAAGAGCCTTTTTTCAGCAAGTGGGAAGGATAGGTAAACAGGCCTTTGCTTAGTAATTTCTGGCTTGATGTGATGGAATGGACTTATGAAGGCCAGGCTCAGGGAGATAAGCGTGTTCTTAGCC